CATGTGATATGTATGTATGTATATGTATTTAAATACCACGATTCAGAGTGTGTGTATGTAATGTATTTGGAGATTAGCTGTGTTTATATGTATACATGTGTATATATTGCATTTGAAATGTATGAAGGTACACAGTGGCTAGTACTGTGGGAGATTTACAGAGGAAAGATCAAACATAGTTTAATGGAGGAGAATGACCAAGAATAGATGTTTATTATTGGCCCAGTTTACCTAAATGACAACTAAACACATACGCCAAATGAGCAGTAAACAATTTTACCATTCGGAAATGCTAGGAAATACGGTGTTATGATTTTTAAACCATTCTCGTTAATATACAACGATCCTATTATACCATTGACAGATTTAAATAATGAGAATCTAATGAGGCTTAGCTAAGACTCAAGTGATTGTAACCAACATGATTTCTTGTTGTTGATGTAGACAACTATGGGATTGTCCGTTTCTTTGGCATCATGATGGTAGTCATTCAGTGCCTGTGTGAAAGCGAAAGGAGGAGAGGGACCCTCTGAGCCTGTAGAAAGCTCATCTCCCAATTCCCACCAGGGCCTTCTGGGACACTTTCTGGGTACTTAGTCCACAAGGTCTTTCTGAGTCTGTCGAAGGAGACCTTAGCTACCATTGAAGACAGAAGGGTCCGGATCAAAGGCCTCTTCTCAGCCTTCTTCATCTCTTGATGGCCTCAGCATCTGACACAGGGCCGGCGTGTTTAGCATCTGATAAGCCCCTGTTGTGTGGAGGCCCTGAATGCTGAGGCTGGCCTTGTCCTGTCTTCCTGTAGATGGCTCTGGAATTTTTGAAGCTTAGGAGGTTGGGCCTCTGAACTTTGCTTCCTGAGCACTCAAGCCAATAGAGTGTCAGTTGACGTTAGGCACATGGACTGCTTTTGCTTTGACTGACAGATCTTGGTTGAGGGTAGAGGGTGGGAAAAGCTGAACCAGCCCTGGTACAGGGACTGATCCCAGCAAGTCAGTTTCCACCCCACCCCCTGTTCAGTGTTGACTTTGAGGGATGCTCTTGCCCTGTGTGTGGCAGCTGCGCAGGGCCTGGGTTGCCTTGGTCCAGGTAGAAATTCCCAAGAGGGCGTCATGGGGCTCAGGTCTTTGAAGAGACCAGCCACTCTAACTGTGCCCAGCAATGGAGAGTCACTGCTCTGTGCTCCAGAAGAAGGGACTTGCCAGGTGGCTGTCACCATTCCTCATTTGTTCCCGGAGAGCAAAATGGGACTACACTTTACTGTTGCATCTGGTTTGAAGAGACCTTCCTTTCTATTTGGGGAGAAGAAAACTCAAACACAGCCAGACAGCTGCCAGACGGTGCCTGGCTTTCACCTCCGTCTCGCTCTTCCTGGCCAAGTTGGTGTCCCTGGGTATCGCCCCGTGCCGAATGCTCCATGTGTATTCCTTGAGTCTGAAAGGCGCTGATGAAATGCTTGCTGCAGCTTTGTTAGGACACAGTCAGTCATGCTCTAGGCTGCTCTGGGGACAGCGGCATTGAGTAGGCTGCAGGAACCATGGCCGGTGCATGGTCACTCTGCATGACAGCCCAGTAGACCCAGCCTGGACTCTTCAGGGGCAGCTGGAGACCTCCTGCTACTCTGTGAATGGGGCCACCATGACTGCTGGCTCTTCACTGAGGCCAGACTCAGTGCAGATTCCTGGTGCTGGACGAGGCCCCAGGAAAGATACACCTGTGGTTGGTATAGCTTGGCTTCAATTTACTCAGAATAAATGCAGCCCTGTCAGCAAGAGAGAAGCTAGGCAGCTATGCTGGATGAGCTTGTAAAGATGTTAGAAAATTATCAAAACAAAAACGATGTGGCATTTACAGGTTGAATGAATGAATGTACATGTGCATTTATGGTGTGAAATTGTACATGATGCAGAAATGAGATGTGTTACTGCATCTGCCCTGAGGGTGTGGGCCCATCTGCAATATTACTGAAAAAAGTGTCAGAAAGCAGACTTGGTTTTGGGAAGGATGCCTTTCCTTTCTATTTCATGTGTCACCAGCTGCTCTGTGTGTATTATGTCCTGTTACGATTGCCCTTAGATGGCTCTCCACTCTGTCTCTAGGCCTCGTTGTGTTTTATTTATTTGTTTTTGAGACAGGGTTTCACTCTGTTGCCCAGGCTGGAGTGCTGTGGTGTGATCACAGCTCACTGTAGCCGTAGACTCCTGGGCTCAAGAGATCTCCCCACCTCAGCTTCTTGATCAGCTAGGACTACAGGCACATACCACCACATCCGGCTCATGTTTTTATTTTTATAGAGATGGGATCTTGCTATATTGCCCATGCTTGTCTTGAACTCAAACAATCCTCCCACCTTGGCCTCCGAAAGTGCTGGAATTCCAGGTGTGAGCCTCTGCTCCCGGCCTCTTATATTTTAAATGGCTCTGCTTCCCAGGACCCAGCCACTAGCTGGAGTGAGTCTTGCTCCAGAGAAAGGCAGGAAGCCTGTGGCCAGGCTTCGATTCAACCTTTGCCCAAACAAATTCCCCATCTTCCTTTACATTAAGGAGAGAGTGAAAATTGTAAAGATTAAGAATAAACACGCCTGCTTCCCCTCGGGGTTTTCCCTCCTCCAGTCCCTCATGCAGTCCTGTTCTGGTGCAAGCGAGGGCCTCATGCCTGTCACTTTTCAGGAGTTCCGCCCACTCTGCCTCTTCTTGCTCTGCCTCTCGGGGGCCCATGGCTCACAGATGTTTCTGGGACGTGTCACTCAGGAGGTAGTTTGGCGTTAGTGAGATGGGCAGCCCCACTGGATCATGCTGTTGGAAAGCCACATGTGGATGCTGCGATGCCTGGCGCCGCAGGGTGTGCCGTGTGAGGAGCTCCGCCAGCATCTTCTCTTCTCTCCTCGGAGCAGCTGTGCTTGTTGGCTTTCCTTGGTGGCTTCCTCTTGAGTGAACCTTTCTTCTGAAGGCTTGATTTCCTTGGTGGAGGCTTAGTGTTTCTACTCAGCCTTCTTTCTTGGAGGCCTGGGCTTGGTGTTGAGTTGTGTTTGGTGAGGTTATGGAAAAAGCCTGTGTTTACTAGAACCAAGGGAGGAGGTCTGGGCGGGGCATCAGGTCTGCCTTTGTTCTGTGACCTGGAGCCGAAAATCTCTTGGCTGGGATGAGGGAGGGGTGGGTCAGTGACCCCTTCAGTTCCCTGCTGGCCCCTACACGGGGGATGCTAAGCAGCAGGTCAGTGGCTATTTTCACAGCTAGAGAGTTAATGCTGGAAGGAGGAGGTGAGTTTGTTGTCGTCTCTGCCTTGTGTCATGGAACTGCTGTTTTTAATTTTTCTTGGCTTGGGTGTGAGAATCCTGCTGCCTGCGAGGCTGAACATGAGGGAGAAAGCGTGGAGACAATGATCATGTTTGCTGAGTGATTGATGAAGAAGTGGCAATATATCATACACTCCTGAATATAGATTTCAGGGGAGTGTGACAGGTTTCTGTAATGAATGAAGTTTTTATTTTGTACTCTTTTAAGTAATTTTATTGATTTAAATATTTTAAGTTATCACGGTTGTTAAAACTAGTCCTTACAGAATTTAAAAATAGACACAATTTTGAGTAGCAGGAACTGAATATGTGTTGAATTATTATTTTCAACAGAGCTTAAAGTCTTGCTTAAAAGAGTTAAAAATCATCAGTTTAAAAATAGAATATCTTAAAGAGCTGGGCATGGTGGTATGCACCTGTGGTCCCAGCTACTGGGGAGGCTGAGGCAGAAGGGTTGTTTGAGTCCAGGAGTTTGAGGCTGCAGTGAGCTAGGATTGTGCCTGTGAGCAACCATTGCACTGTAGTCTGGATTCTATAGCAAGACCCTGTTTCAAAAAAAAAAAAAAAAAATCCAAAAGAAATTTTGAAATAGATTGCCAGGAAATTGGATTAGCATTTTGTTTCAGAATTAGAGCTGGGTCATTTGAGCAATCCAGGTTTTGTCACTTTAGCTGGGAAGAAAAGACTTATTGATACTAATGGAAAATTAAAAATGAGTCCCAGATTCTTACTTTGGAAATTTTCTTAGGGAGCTTTCTGTTTTTAACCTTGAACTGTAGATATCTAGATGGCAGAGAAGTGACAAGGTTATTTGACAAAAATAATAACTACTGAGTGACATTTCTAACACGGACTCAGGTTCACCCGGTAAAATGAAATCAGTACTGGAGAAGTTGTGCATTTATTCTTTGAGGGTAGAACATGAAGCCAAATATCTTCAGCCTAGTTGGAAATTAATTTCAGAACTATGAGCTCTGCTTTGAATGCCTGAATAAGTTCGGTTGCTATGGCCTTTTTGTGACTAGACGTTGACAAATCATAATTCTGTTACTTTGGCTCATTTTAAAAAATTTTAATAGCACAACAAGGTGAATAAAGTTGATAATAACTTAATTGTATATTTTAAAATAACTTAGAGTATAATTGGATTGTTTGTAACTCAAAGGATAAATGCTGGACGGGATGGACATCCCATTCTGTGTGATTTGCTTATTTCACATTATATGCCTGTATCAAAACATCTCATGTACCCCATAAATATATATACCTAGTACGTGCACACAAAAATTAAGAATAAAAAAATAAACAAATGTTAAAGGACTCCTATGTACCACATACTCTGCAAAGTCTTGGGGATGCCAGGATGATGGGGATGTGTTTTTCACCCACAAGGAGGTCACAGTCGAGTAGGAGAATGAATTTCCACTTTTGGTAGATGAGGCAGGACAAAGGCCTGCTGTAATGTACAACTGTGTGTACATTTAATATATGCATATGCACTTAATATTATGTACCCCATATTTAATTACTAAGTTATTTATTTTTTTGAGATAGGGTCTCACTCTGTCAATCATACTGGAGTCCAGTGGGTCAATCTTGGCTCACTGCAACCTCAGCCTCCTGGGTTCAAGTGATTCTTGTGCCTCAGCCTCCCAAGTAGCTGGAACTACAGGTGTGCACCACCACACTCAGCCAATTTTTGTATTTTTTGGTAGACATGGGGTTTCACTGTGTTGACCAGACTGGTCTCAAGTTCCTGGCATCCTGATCCACCTACCTCAGCCTCCCAAAGTACGGAGTTCATAGGCATGATCAATTGCACCCAGCCTAATTATTAAGTTATATTTATCAGTTTTCTGTTGCCGCATAACAAATTATTGTCAATCTAGCAGCTGAAAACAGTAGTCATTTGTTGTCTCACAGTTTCCATGGCTCCAAAGTCAGGCATGGCTTAGCTGGGTCTCTGGTCAGGCTGTAGTCAAGGTGTTGGCCAGGCTGTATTCTCATCTGCAGGTTTGAGTGGGGAAGAATCCACCCCCAGGCTCACTCAGGTTGCTGGCAGAATTCATTGACTTGTAACTGCAAGACTAATTTCCCTGTTCCCTTGCTGCTTGTCAGCTGGGGGCTGCTCTCAGGTCCTGGAGAGCCCCTGTAGTGCTTTGCCAAGTGGCCCCTCACAGGCACTATCATGAGGTGGCAGCTCACTTCTCCAAGCCAGCAAGGGAGTCTGTCACTCTCATGTTGCTGAGATGGGATCCTATGTAGGTCACCTGGTATGAGGAGAGGCATTCTTTGAGGCATTTGGTTGGGTAGAAGACAATCATAACTTCCACTGTGCTCAAGGGGAGGGAGTTGTACAGGGTGTGAGCAATTTGGGGGTCACCTTAGAATTCTGCCCACCACAGTACCTTTCTGGTTGTTCCACGGACTTCTGTTCCAAAGAATCTGAGCATTTGCATCCTAGGAAGATTGGAAAGAGCAGCCTCAGTGGGGCAAATAAAAAGTAAGATCTGGAAAATCAGCAGTGGGTTGTTTTCATCTCTCAGCAAGTAAGAAACGGGAGGAGAAAGGAATGTCTACAGGCTCCCAACGCTGATGGGAAGGAGGTGTTTGGCTGGGGTAGAGCTCCACAGGAATCTCCCTGGCTCCTCTAGCTAGGTGCAGCCAGGTTTTATCCGGCTGTCTTTGCATAGGCTGAGCACTCAGGAGTGGCATATGGCAGGAGCATGCTTTGGGGTATGAACCTCCTAGATAGTGAACTGCGGCACACAAGCTAGACAGATGGTGGCTTAGTCCACCTTGGACAAGAGTGTGTCCTGTACACTGGCAGGCAGGGTGCTGAGAGGTGTTTGTGAGGTCTGAGGCTGAGCTTTGCTGAGTTCACCTGAAACTACTCTGTGAGCACGAGGCAGTCACCTGAGGATGCCGGCACTCCACCTGGGATGGTGCGATGCCTGCAGAGCATGCTCACTCAGTTGAGATGGGGACGCCAGTGACAGGTTGTATGGACTGGACAAAATCTGGAGCACTAGCTGGGAGGACATTCTCCTAAAAGGATGGAAGGCAGGTAAAGGCATCATTTCAGGCAGAGTCAGGAACATTACCATTCCAGCCAGAGTGTCACTGCTAGAGGGCCTACGTTTTCCATGAAATCAGACATATATTTCGGCAAAGGAATTACTGGGGCCTGCCTGCCTTTAGGTGGATCCATCTTATCTTGAGACAGTTTGGATTGTTTTGAAAGACGATGGTCATTTCACAGCCTTTAGGGTGTGTATAAATTTTAAGAAGACCAGCCCAACAGGGATACTGTCTGTTATTTGGCCTCTCATCAAAGAGGAGGCCTGTGCCTCTGCAGGAACAAGTGTGTGTCCTTTGACAGGTGAGGACTTAGTGCCCCTGTGGCTGTGTGGAGGCAGAGGGGGATTTTGTCCCAGTTTAGTAATTCTGTGTTGTCATCCTTCTCTCTTCCTTCCTTTTATTACTTGTTGCTTATCATTGCATTTGTATTTTATTCATTTTGATATTTGTGCCTCTTACTGTGACAGCCCTCAAATATTTAACCATTTTTGAAACGTGGGAGGGGGACACACACAAAAAATCAAATGGCTCACAGAAGTTCTTCATCTTTCCTCCTAGAGGTTCAAGCTCTACATTCGTGACATCAAACCCCTTTCTTCTGCTGGGCCATTTCCAAGAACTCTCATCAGTTTCCATATAGTTTAAAAGGTGAGTGAAACTCATGCCTGCTCTCTGTGATGATGCCTGGGAAGCAGACTTGTCACGGTGGGGGCTGCTCTGCAATGGTGGACCTGCCTGGCGCGTTGGGTTTTACAAGGGTGTGCCTTGCTTGTATGTTTCTTCTTTGGGGCTGGATGTTAATGGCTGGGGCTTGGCAATCTATTACCAGTAGAAGCTTGGGTTACACCTGTGTGTTTTCAGAGCCAGCTGTGGTGGGGGATGGTCAGTAGCAGTGCCGGAGGTGCTGGGAACCCCCCACCTGGCGTGCCAGCCATCAGCGTCTGGCCTCAGGATGCCCTGGCCCTCTCGACGCCGTGTGTTCTCAGTTCCTCTGATTTTATTGATGCTTATTCTGTCTCATTGTCAGGCTTCATTTGATGTCAGGAGCATCAAATGAAGAAACACATGAGAATTTTCAGGAAGGTAAGACATTCTATAAAATATAAGGTAAATTTTTTTCTAGATTTTTAATGTGCCTAGTGGTGGGATTCATTGCTTACAGGAAATCTCTTTTTAGAATGTAATATGAGGTCAAGGACCTCCATCCCTTCTACTTGTCTTCCTTCCTTCCACTTATTTTTTCTTTAGGGCCTAGAACAGTATGTGCAGTGTCAGGGAGCTTGATAAAACTTTTGCTAAATGAAATGAGTTGATGAAGAATCCCCTCTGAAGCTCTTAGAGCATATCCCAGCCTTTTCCTTTCTGGTTACCGTTGGCAGCAGAGGAGGCACCTGGAGAATCCAGGAGGATATGCAGTGCTTCCTTGCTGAGGCACACAGACCCTGGAATGTAAATGGACTTTTTACAGTTTGGAGCCTTCCTAAACTGCGGGTGCAAAAGCAGTATGCATAGCAGAGCAAACCAGGCTTGGGTTCTGCGTGGGGGCAGCTCCTCCGCTGCTGAGCTCATGTTTGTTTCTCTCCTCTCTCCTGAGTGGATTTTACGCCCATTCGATTGGCTCTCGGGAGGCTGGGGTGGAAAGAGCTCAGGGGGAACACCCAGACTGCGTGCCTCATGGATGTTCAGTGACTGACGAAATGCTTGTTATTCACACAATCCCTTTATTAACCTGACAGAAAAGCATGGGGTTTAAAAATCCCTGCTCTTCCCTGACTTGGTGGGTGTGGAGAAGCCGTTTTTCTTCCATCATTTGGAACACCCACCGCCAGCTTGAAGTGGGCGGTGACAGCGCGTCTCTACCAGGGCTGACAAAAGCGTGGGCACAGTTTCATTTCTCTTTTATTGTCTCAAATGCAGTTCCCATTGAATTGACCCACCAAAAACTAGCACTGTCTTCAAGTAGAATTTTACTAGATAGTGGAACATACCGTTGGACTGTGCCCCCAAAGACTGAAACTTGAGTTACAACGTTTCAGCAAAAGAAAGAATTCCTGTAAATGACATAAATATCTGATTTCTCCCCTTATGTGGGGTTACCTCACCCATCAACTATTTTAAGCAACTTTCAAAATTGGTAATGGAAAACTTTGTCTTGACTGTAGTGGTGTATGTGGATTTTAAATTAAATACAAAGCTCTGTTGCTTCTCCTGAAAATCAGAGCAGCTAAGGAAGAAATCACCGTCTCTGCAGAACTGCATGGCTGCATGGTGCTTCATCATCATGGTAATTTTCAGGCACAGACTTAGCTTGCGAGGCGTCATAAGAACTTTCACACCTCTAAAATAGGTTCTTACAGCTGACTGTCCTGGAATTTATATTTGCTCTGTTAACTTGCAAAATTTTGTCCCTTAAGCAGCTCACAGCTGGACTGTGAGACATTCCTAAGAGCTGATAAAATGGACAGGTGGCATTGCCTTCTTTTGCTCTGTCTGCTTGCCTGGGAGGGCCCAAGAAGTCCTAGAGCTTTGCATTAACTGTAGGATGTGCCGGCCTCCCTGTGCAGTGGATTGATTTGGACTTGGTTTTAAAATGCAGCTGGGTCCCTGTGTTTAGGTTGTTATTAAATGCACTTTTGAGTTTTTCCCTCCTTGATGAATCTGAACACTTGTACACTTGCCATATTGCATTCGCGTGGGGAACTCAGAAGCCACAGACCTTGGCCTGAATTCTGGCTTGGTCACTTTCATTCACTTTGTTACCGTGGTGAGTCATAAGCTTTTCTCATCTTTATATGAGATAATATTTATTTCGTGGAATTACTTTGAAGATGCCTAATTCAGCATTCCATGCACAGTAGTCACTCAACAACATGTTGGCTATTATTTTCCACCCTAATGCTGGCTTTCTTCTGTGATCCTCATGCTGGAGGGATTGGAGGAAAATAGCAGAGGTCCTGCTCTTTCTGTCCTCTTTCAGAACTACGGAAGTTTGCTAAGGCATTTCACGTGGCATCCTGCTAGAGCCTATAGGGGAGTGCTGCTGACGTGATTAAGCACAAAGGCACCATGGTGCGGGCAAAGAAATCATTAATTCTAGCTGCCCACACTGTTCCCTGACCTCTGCGTAAGATAGTGCAGCCTCACACTGAGATCTGGCTGGCTGTCAGCACAGACTGGAAAGGTGAAGCTGGAGAAAACTCCACCTGTCTCTTGGTTTCATTCTTGGTCCTTAAGGGATCTGAAGGCACGGGTGCAGACCAGGGGCCATGTGGATATCTTCCACTGTGAGACCAGTGTTCCCTGTGGAGAGACACAGTGAAACAATGAAAAAATAACGTTAGACCCAGGTGATGCATCCTGAGCTGAACTTCTATCTTTGTGCTCAATTTAAACTTTTTAAGGTAAAATCAGAGGATCAATAGTACTGGGAGAAGCAGTTATTACTTTTGAATGTAGGTCCCTGCTGTCTGCATTGGTAAATAAAGTCCTGCTTATTGTCACCAGATGTATGTACAAAGTGATCTTTGGCACTGTGTAATAAAACAGATTAATTCATGAAAATGTTATCAAACAAAAAAGATTGAAATCCCAGCACTTTGGGAGGCTAAGGCAGGAGTATCATTTAAAAACTCAGGAATTCGAAACCAGCCAGGGCAACATAATGAAACCTTAGCTCTACTAAGAAATCAAAAACATTATCTGGGCATGGTAGTGCATGCCTGTGGTCCCAGCTACTCAGGAGGCTGAGAAGGGAGGATCGCCTGAGCCTGGGAGTTTGAGGCTGCAGTGAGCTCTGATCATGCCACTGCACTCCAGACTGGGCAGCAGAACAACATCCTGTCTCCAACAGCCCCCCACACAAAAAAAGCAAAACTGGACTTGTCATGTGAATGACTATCTTTTGCTGGGTGCCTCTAACTTGAGGAGGACTGAAACTCAGCCATGAAGGTAGTTCCTGCAGGGGGTGTCCTGAGGTTTCCCACCTGCATAGGCAGCAGGGCAGCCATGAGTCAGCCTCTGCTGGCCTTCCAGGTCACCGTCAGGGAAGTGACACCAAGGTGGCCAGTGCTGAGGTTCTGGGAGGGATCCCAGGTTTGGGGGTCCTCATTCAGGGGCCTCCCTCAGCTTCTAAAAGAGTTTCCGAGTTCCTCAGCCTTATTTGGGCCACCTCTCTGTCTCTCACATGTCTCTTCTTCCCATCTCTCTCCTCCCAAGCCTCTGTCTGAAGCTCAATCTCACCATTGTCCCCTGATTCTTCAACTTTAGGGTTGTATTAGTCTGGATTCACACTGCTGTTAAAGATATACCGAGACTGGGAAGAAAAGGAGGTTTAATTGGACTTACAGTACTACATGGCTGGGGAGGCCTCAGAATCACGGTGGGAGGTGAAAGGCACTTCTTACATGGCAGCAGCAAAAGAAAATGAGGAATAAGCAAAAGCACAACCTCCTGATAAACCCATCAGATCTCATGAGACTTATTCACTATCATGAGAATAGCATGAGAAAGACTGGCCCCATGATTCAATTACCTTTCTCTGGATCCTTCCCACAACGTGTGGGACTTCTGGGAGATAAAATTCAAGTTGAGATTTGGGTGGGGTCACAGCCCCTGGTCCCTCCAAATCTCATGTCCCTACATTTCAAAACCAATCATGCCTTCCCAACAGCCCCCCAAAGTCTTAACTCATTTCAGCATTAACCCGAAAGTCTACAAACCAAAGTCTCATCTGAGATAAGACAAGTCCCTTCTACCAAGGAGTCTGTAAAATCAAAAGCAAGTTAGTTACTTCCTGGATACAATAGAGGTACAGGTATTGGGTAAATACAGCTATTCCAAATGGGAGAAATTGGCCAAAACAAAGGGTATGCTATAGGGCCCATGCAAGTCCAAAATCCAGTGGGGCAGTCAAGTTTTAAAGCTCCCAAATGCTCTCCTTTTACTCCAGGTCTCACATCCAAGTCACACTGATGCAAGAGGTGGGTTCCCATGGTCTTGGGCAGCTCCCCCCTGGCCTTGCAGGGTACAGCCTCCATCCTGGCTGCTTTCACAGGCTGGCATTGAGTGTCTGTGGCTTTTCCAGGCCCATGGTGCAAGCTATTGGTGGATCTACCATTCTGGGGTTTGGAGGATGGTTGCCCTCTTTTCACAGCTCCATTAGGCAGTGCCCCAGTAGGGGCTCTGTGTGGGGACTGTCACCCCACATTTCCCTTCTGCACTGCCCTAGAGGTTCTCCATGAGGGCACCACCCCTGCAGCAAACTTTTGCCTGGGCATTTAGGCATTTCCATACATCTTCTGAAATCTAGGCAGAGGTTCCCAAACCTTAATTCTTGACTTCTGTGTACCCATAGGCTCAATACCACGTGGAAGCTGCCAAAGTTTGGGGCTTCCACTCTCTGAAGTCACAGCCTGAGCTATGTGTTGGCCCCTTTGAGCACCTGCTGGTGTGGCTGGGACACAGGACATCAAGTCCCTAGGCTGCACACAGTACGGGGACTCTGGGCCCAGCCCACAAAACCACTTTTCCCTTCTGGGCCTCTGGGCCTGTGGGACAGCTGTGAAGGTCTCTGACATGGCCTGGAGACATTTTCCCCCATAGTGTTGGGCATTAACATTAGGCTTCTTACTACTTATGCAAATTTCTGC